ACTTGCAGATTTGAATAAATCATTGGAAATTGAACCAAACAATGCATTTGCATTAAGAAATCGTGGAGAAACTTATCGTATGATGAAAAGATATGAAGAATCACTTGCAGATTTAAATAAATCATTGGAAATTGAACCAAACAATGCATTTGCATTATGGAATCGTGGAAACACTTATCGTATGATGAAAAGATATGAAGAATCACTTGCAGATTTAAATAAATCATTGAAAATTGAACCAAATGATGCATGGAAATTAAGAAGTCGTGGAAACACTTATCGTAAGATGAAAAGATATGAAGAATCGCTTGCAGATTTAAATAAATCATTGGAAATTGAACCAAATGATGCATGTGCATTAAGAAGTCGTGGAGAAGCTCATCGTATGATGGGCAAATTTAATGAATCATTAGCAGATTTCAATAAATCATTGGAAATTGAACCAAATGATAAAGTTGCATTAAGTAAACTGAAGTTGCTTAAAATAAATTAGTAGAATTGAAACAAAATATACATTCATTATAATATCATAGAAACACTTTCCTTTTGATAAACAAATATGAAAATATTTTCAGATTTAAAAAAATTGAATTAGGCGCATTAAGTTTCCTTGGATTAACTTTCGCATAAAAGAAAAAAATAAAGAATCATTTACAGAGATGATAAATGATTAGAAATTAATCCAAATGATGCGTTAATTAACATGAAATAACTCAGTTTAATTATGATAAAATAATTTTTTTTAAAATAAATATATATTTTCACAATTGAGTTACAGTGTGTATAAAGTTGGATAGTTGTTTTTCTTAGTTATCAGAATTTACATATTATACAAGAGTCCATGTTTTATCGTTATTAGCATAAAATTCATTTCCCTACAAATAAAGGCCAATATTTAAAAATTTTTACATTAGATCTGTTTAAATTTACACTTCATTTATAATTGGTAAAGCATTTAATAAATATCGAATATAGTCTAATAATATACATTTAATATTTCTAACAGAAAAACTTTTATACAATTTCTTTAGAAAGTGACTATTTTTTATTGGGTAGTTAAAAATATCAGAAACCGGTTTAAGTTGAATTGTAAACTTTTACAAAATTTCCCTTATTATTTCCATTTCAACAATCATGAGTGCAAAATATTTTGAGAACTTACTAATAACTTAAGCGAACTTCTTATAAATAGTTATGAATATAATGTCATTATCGAAACACCAATCATTAAACCACATATTATAATCCTGAATTCTCGATGACAGTATTTTAAAAATAAATTTGATGCGATTGCTTATGATAATAATGTGAATATAGATAAAGCAACCTAATATTTCTATTGAAGTATTCAGCATATTATCAAGTAAGTATTAATAAATGTAATTTGTTAGAAAATTTTAAAGTTTTTAATAAATAATACAACCAGTGGTGGTGTAATTAACCAATAAATCTGCAGGATCAGGTGTAAATTTTTTTTTTTTTTTTTAAAAAAAAAAAAAATGCCAATATCCTCAAGAATTCGCCAATGAAACCACCTTCGATATTCTAACAAAAAAAATTCCTTGCTAAATTTTGCATATATATAACACCTTGTTAAATCCTAGGCCTCACCCTAACCCTAAAGTAAATGAAATGAAATCTTTTTTTTTTGTTTTATCGTTATTGACTAATTAAACACTGCTGGTTATTTAAAGTAATTTTCTTAAATAAATGTATAAATTGAAGATTTTCACCTATAGATGCTTTCTTCGGAAATTACATCACTGTTCCTAGACCGAAGTTCAGAAGATTGTCGAAAAGTTAGTAATTCTTGGATAAAACTGGAAAGATCCGGAAAACAATTTTTTTTTTTAGCTTATCACGAATTCTAAAACTCATAAGCTTTGCACAACGTATTATAATATTCTGTATAAAAATTTCGTTAAAAAAAATCTCTCTGTTTTAGGATTTAAGAGTGTAGTAATATCCAAACTTTCAGTTCATATGCAAATTTTGATTTTTGATTAATTTAATTTTTTTCATTCACTTTTATAATACTAGTGTGATAGGTGGCGCGAAGCGCCACCTATCTTACTTAGTGTTCTTTTTTACAGTTTATATAATTGTTGTAAAATTTGTTTTTAATAAAAAAAAAATAATTTGGTATTATTTTTATTACGATTCTAAAACTATATTACTATTAAAACTATAATAAAGTTATTGTGTAAAACCTAAAATTTAATAGTAATCATTTAATTTAATTATAGTATAAGATTGATAACTACAGATTGTTAGATAACTTATTATAATTGTTTTTTTTTACACAAAAATTTTTTTAATGTAAAATCTAAGTATATTTTTATTCATTGTCTTTAAGGTTAATGTTAAGGTTAATTATTAAGTTATTTTGTGACTAACATTACATATTAATTATAAGTTATAGCTGAGGGTGGTGGCCAAACCTACATACTTTTGATGTAACTGAAATTGAAAGTATTTTATATGCATTTTCAAACAGATTTGATTTTCAAAATGTTTGAAGTCAAAAGTCTGACCGAAAATTGAAAGTTTGTCTAAAGTATTATTAAATTTAAATTTTTTTATAGTAAATACTTGAACAACCAAGTTCTAATTTCAATAAGTAAATATTTTGATTTAAATATATAGTTGTCTAGATACTATTATTTTAAAAAAAATTGCTATGAACTTGTTAATCAATTAGAACGTAGTCCAATATAACATAACAACCTTTTATAACTTATACATTGTAAATCAGAGTATTGATACATTAATTTAATCTTACCAATTTTATTATCATACGTCCAATTATCTTAGGTCTTTTATAGATTTCTTTTCCTGTAGAATTTTTTAAATTTTTAGATCATTCAGATTAATTGTACAGTATTAGAATTTTGGTATTTGAAAACCTTTTCTATTAATGTTTTTTAAATGTATTCATAATATGTTTCTGAGAAATCACGAGAATAAAAAACATTTAATTTCTATCTAGTCACGATTTTAATTACTAAATTCAGATTTGCCTATTACAGTACGTCATTGTTAGTATGTAATTGTCTGAGCGATTTTTTGTAGTTTTTAATGATTTTAATTGTAAAATTTAAGTTAAATTGTTGGTATATGTTGTTGTACTAAATGTGTAAGGTGTTGAGTAAATTGATGGAATGTTTAATTATCGGTTTAGTTTGTTATTTTTAGTTTAACAAAATTGTTTCTAATAACGAAAGATAAATATTATTATGTGTGAAATTACTTAACGATAGAAATGTTATAAGAATGAGAATTTAATTATAGAAAGATATCAAATAATATGACACATGTAATTTTTTCACAATAAAAGTTTAGAATACTATCGTTATTACTTATAGACCTTAGCTAATCATTAGCGTGAGTTTATTAATTTTCGTTTTAGGTTGATTTTATGTATTGGTTTCAATATTTATTACGTAATTGATATGATATTTTTCACGTATTTAAGGTGATGCTGATTACGATTATCATGATTCAATGGTATTTTGTTACGAACCTTATAGAAGGATATTAAATAATATGATGTATGTAATTTTTTCGCAATAAAAGTTTAGAATACTATCGTTATTACTTGTAGACCTTAGCTAATCATTAGCGTGAGTTTATTAATTTTCATTTTAGGTTGATTTTATGTATTGGTTTCAATATTTATTATGTGATTGATATGATATTTTTCATGCATTTAAGGTGATGCTGATTACGATTATTATGATTAAATGATATTTTGTTATATTCTATATATCTATATGTTGAATTATATGAACTATAATGCTAGTCAAAATAGCTTATTCGTAAGTTTTAGTAATGTTATCGGGTTTTCTGTTAGCTATGAAATATATTTTTTTATATGTTAGTATTTACATTATTGATTATTAATTATTTTATTTTTTGTTATAACTATGCTATCTGTACGTGATTATAACTATGCTATCTGTACGTGATTTTACACAATGGATTTTATAGTTGTCAAACTTAGTAACAGAATTGTCAAACTTAGTAACAGAATTACAAAGTATAAGTCGATTTTGTCCATATAACGTTAGTGTATTATAGCTATGAATTATTATTTAATTTCATAATATATACGTCAAGAGATAAAATTTCATGAGCTTATGTGTCAGATAATACGCGTTAATCTTATTATAGTCTTTTTAGAATTATTATTAAAGATATTATTTGGATGATGTGATGTGTGAGAATTTTCTGAGATTAATTAAGTATTATTTGGTTGCGGGAAATTCTGAGAGAAGTTGATGCATGTATGAGCTCTTGTTTGGCATTTTAATTCTGTTAATATTTTTATTTTATGCAGTAATTTTGATCTCATTTTTTAACTCCCTATAGTTAAAGGTTTTTTGTTGACGTAAATCCTTATGCAAGTTTCTGTCGCAAGTTTTGTCTAGTCAGAAATTCATATAAAAGATAAGATTTTCAGTTTATTCTTTTTATTTATCTATTGCAAAATTTGCATATATAGTACACATATATATTTTAAAGTGTATTGAGATATTATGCCATATTACGCGAATACCATTGTGAAAGTAAGATATGTTTGTCCAAGTACGAAAGAGGATAGTAATCTAATTACATTGTGGGCTATCAGTACTTATCTAGTTGGATGTGAAGATAATGTGATCGAAATGGTTTTATTTGTTTTGAATAATTCTGATGAAAGAGATTTCGAAACCCAAGCCATTTTTGAAAGAGATGGTTATTACTCTGTTGGTGATAAAATTGTACCTGGAATTTATGAAGGCAAGAAGAGACCAAAGGTATTGTTTAGACTATTTATAAATTTTATGGGTAATATTTATTTATATGTTATCTTTTTTCTATCTTAGATGACAGTTTCAATTTCTACTCACGTGATGATCTTGAATAAGGCTCCTGAATCGAATAAGTGTCCTTTGAGAATTTTTCTCATTGGAGTTGCCCAAGAATCACCGAATGTATTAAAAAATAATGAGAATGCTATTTTTAACATGATGATCAACGATTATGCTGGTCAAGATTGTAATTTCATAGTCAAAGTTGTTTTTCCACATCTCAATTCTCGATTTTTGTACCTAAAGAATACAATTCGTCCGCAGAAATCACTTGTTTTTATTATTGGGCAATTGGAAGTCATTTATAATGATTTTTACATTTATGCTAAAGATATTAGTATTGTCAATACCAGTTCATTTAAGAGAAGAATTTTTGACAACAGTTTCAGTAATTTATCAGATATCATTAATACTACTTGGTCAAAACTTCTTTCTACATATCGAAATATTAATGAAAGTCAGAAAGGTATTGATAAGTTTGAAACTTCATTCCCAAATGTTTCAAATGATTCTGTTTATAATAATTTTCAACTTGCATCGTGTTTCAAGTGCATGAGAACTGAATATAGTGATGAATCTACAGACGTGTTTAATGATACTAGCAGTAATGATATGAAGTTAGGTAAAGTTAATAATTTGAATGAAGTTGCTCAGAATGATTGTGTTGGGAATGTATCAGGAGATAAAAAATATAAAAAGAGCAAGAATGATAAAAAGGGTGTAGGTCATCATTTGCATAGTAATTCGAGATTACTTAAGTCTGATATGAATATTGTTAATAGTGAGTAGTGGTAAACGAATTTATTCAATTTGTATGTTATATAGTATTCATACAAAAATATGATATTTTTTATTACATATACATGTAAAGTATAAATAAAGGTTTAGTTTGATATTTAATAAATGATTTTAATCGTTAAATATAAGATTTCAATCATAGGTTTGACGAACTGAAATAAAGATCTATTTTTTTTTTTTTTTTTTTTTTTTTTTAATAATGTGTATTTCAATTATTTTTTGAGAAAAGTTTACTTTATCATATCTAGTTCTTATTTTAAAGACGTGATGTAGTTATAAACTATACTTTTATAAGTAAATCGAGTGAAGTTGTTTAAATATTTTAGATTTTTAATTTATATATAAACTTTTTGATTTTATCAGTTCTTGGAATATAGGATTAGCTTCTTGGCATTCGTGTTTTGAAGTTTATATCACAATAACATTATTACAATATACCACAAAGATAATATTTGTATTGCTGATGTAATAGAGTTTTATATCAATTTTATTTATTTATTGAAGATGATATTGACATTTGTACGTTATAACAAATAATTTGTTATAAAATTTTTTTTCATTTTTAAGTAGGTTATATTTAAAAAGCGTTAATTACAATTTTTTTTTTTTTACAGAAATGTTTTAGGCATGTGTTATTGTAATACTTAATCTTGTAAAATTTCTTTATAAACAATGTTACGTGTAAAAGTTCCTTGTTTACTGGGAATATTGGCATTTTTGACTAATATTTAATGTTATTTTAAGACTAAGCACAGGAGAATGCAACATAAAGTTGACCATGTGTGAATATATGCTCAGAGAGGTAAAGCCTTATGTGAGATATGGTCTAACCTTGGGACTTGTTGATTGTTAATGCAAATGCAAGTCTGATTAGGAACTGTCTTCTTTTTAAAGTAAATAGTAGCTTGACATTGTTTGAAGGGAATAATGGTATTCTTGGAAGGAATATGTTATTTCCTTTACAGTTATCTATAGATATCCTAGCTTCTATTATATTTGGATAGAAAGCTCAACAGATTAACTTTATACTATTGCATAGACTATTTGCTGGATTTGAGTTTCTAAGATATATAATCAGTGCATCTATTTTCAAGTGTAACTTGTATAGAGGAGGACTATTTGGTGTGATAGAATTCAGAAATTCTTGTTGATAAAGCCTACTCGTATCATCAATAACAGAATCATAACTATGATACATTGTTGGATTACCAGATATCTGGTTTAGAATAATATAGTTGACTTGATCAACGTAATTATTTTTAGTGGTGAGAATGGCTCAGTCAGCAAAGTAAGAGGTATTTGAATATTGATTAGTTAGAACTAAATAAATATAGTTAATAAGAAACTGTAATGATTCTTTATTTTTCTATAGAATAACTATGCTATCAGGAATTCAGATCATGTCATCTTAAATTATAGGTTCAGTTCTATTTCTAATTCTTAAAAGAAAGTTTCTAAAGTCATTCTGATCATTTCGAACTCTCATATTTTTGTTAAGATAAAAAATTTTTGTCTTAGCTCAAATAGCAGAATATTTTAGCAAAACATTGATTATTTGTGCATGATTACTATATTGAATAATAGGTAGTATTTGATAGAAGTTTCTACTAAATACAACAATTTTACTATTAAACAGAAGGTTACATTCTATAAAATCTTTAAGAGTCCAGTTTAAAGCTTCTATAGCATGATGATATGTTATAGGAATTTTATCCCATATTATTAGTCTAGTCAGATGCAGTAGTGAAGCTAATTGGCTCTATTTACTGATAGCACAGGTTGAGTCTGAATTAAGAGTTAAAGGTATATTGAATTGAGAATAGGCAGTTTGTCCTCCAGGCATATTTAATATAGTGATACTAGACAAAGCTATAGCGAGTGTGACAAATGAATATGATCGAACTTTGCAGAGCAGACAAAGGTAGAGAAAAGTTTTTCCAGATCCTGTGGTTCTATCTACAAAAAAAATTCCAGACTGATTTTTTTTGACATGATCTATAATTTCATTAAATGTCTTTCTCTGATTTTCATTTAATAGTTTGATCTTTCTTAAATCATTATCATTTATTAAAATATTTAATTCTTCTGTTAACAATTTTAGTAAATTTTCTCTAATTTGATTTTCTGATAGTTTGAGTTGTAGAAGATCATATTCACTTAATTTTCTATGGTGTTGTTTCAAAACGATCTTGATTTAAAGAAGAACAGAGTTTATTAGGAGTTGTTTATTAGTAATACCTTTGTTAGCAAAATCTTCAGACATAACAATAAAATTGTTATCCTATAATGTTCGAACATTCCCTAGTTCTCCAAAAACTAATATTATTGCAAATAATTGTCTTAGAGCACAGGTATTTTAAAAAAAGTGGCTTCTTGCATAGCATTATAGTATAGATTTTTGATTTCTATAATTCCACTCATTAGCGTACTTTCACGAAAAGTTATGCATATGTAATTTCCAACTTTCTTAAGATCAGTAAAAGAAGTGACACCTTTTACATAGTTGAGAAGCAATCGTAAATAATATTTTTCTCCTTCATTTAGATTTACTATATATATTCTTTCTATTATATTTCTGTGATGATGTTTCGTCCATTTCTTGTTAGTTTTGTTTCTGATATAATAACATGGAAATTCACGATATAGGTAATTTCTGGTATTAATATCAATTTTATTCATTTTAAAATACTCTGTTAACATTATTCTCTCATTTTTATTATCAATAATTACATTTTCCAGATTAGTATTTTGTGAAAAAGTTACAGTTTGTTAATAGAGGAGATGAACTTGCAAGTAAAGCACAGAAGGATAAATTCATGACATTTCAGACCCAAAAATTTGCCAACATGCCTCCAAAGCAGAAATCCACTAGGCATCTAGGTATTTACTAATCTTACTTTCATTGGTTATATTTATCGCAGCTTTGTTATGACTTTTGTAGATATATTAATACAAGTATTTGATCGATTTTATACTAGAGCAAATTTCAATATTTACGTGACAGTCATACTTGAAAGATAAATAGAGGTTGTAAGGAACAACCCAATGGTTGTCTAAACACATGTTTCTATAAAAAGCTTTTCGCTCACTATTATGACACTGATATTTTGAATAAGAATCATCACTTTCTTTTGTTACTTGAGCAAATTCTTTAGGGTAATGTTTAGAACATATACTATTTTTTATACATAGCACTCTAGTATTAAAAGATCTACATGGCCTATGCAATTTGTTAATAGCAATAGTTTGATATAATCTCGGATATGTTGTTAGATCTGGAATCTCAGATGAAATAATTGCATTATAATCTTTAGTTCTACGGTGTTTATCATCAAAATAAATTATCAAAAACAAATGTGCATGTGGAAGTCTATGTTTTTGGAATTCTATAATATACATATAGGAGATAATATGACCAAATATATTCTTGTCAAAGATATCTTTTAGTATTTCTTTCAATTTAGTATGAAAGATTTGAGCTATATAAATAAATGAGAAATATAATTTATTTCTATTCTGATTTAATAGATATAGATAAAATTAATATAATATACATTCCAATTTAATATCTAAAATTTGACATGTCAAATATCATAATTTAATTACTATCAAAGATTTTTATATATTTATTAGTAATGTATATACTGAGTTATTTATTATTAACACATCGAATCTCAATCTCAACAGACAATCACAAATAAATTGAATTTCTTGAACTTAGTTAAAGGCGATATTTAAAATTTAATCAAAAAGTTAATTTTAGAATCCAGTTTAGATAATATAATAGTCGACAATTAACAATGTTTAAAGTTGTTTTATATAAGCATATTTTATATATGCATATATATGCATATATATACAGTATATATACATATATATACACACTTATACATACATACATATATATATATATAGATATATGCATATATACAAATCTATATATATATATAAATATATAGATATATACATACACATACCTGTGAGATCAGGTCTATCTTGTGAAGTTTGTTCAGACAAAAGTTCAGAAGAAATTTCAGACCACCTGGGGTTATACGTAATAGTAATAAATAGATAAGATTTATGAAAGGTTTGTACTAACACCATTAGTCTTAGTACTATTGATATATATCACATGGTCCACCTGTGAACGAAGAAGATAAGATAGATTTTGTTCTTATCTTTGAAGCATCTATTATCTCCAAGTAATAAGAATTGTATAAACCTTGATAGAATTCCTTATGAAGTTTATCTTAATTGAATCGTAAGTAATTAAGTCTTTCAAATTTAATTTTAATATAATTATCTATAACATATTGTTAAAAAAGTCATCTACCATAGTGGAGTAATGATAGCGAATTTTGACGTATATGTAACTTATAGGTAGTGACTCTATAGACCGAACTGAACTAAACTTTTGAGCATATTCAAGTTCGGTTCAGTTTTCAAACCAAACTCAGACTCGAACTTTTTTAAAACTAATGTTTGGTCTGAGTTTAATTCCAAACTTTTTAGACAGGTCTGGTTCGGTCTGAAGTTCAGTTCGAAAGTTCATGAACATATTTGGGTTTGAATATCTATTATATGAAATTTACTTATCCCTTATGCCATCTAGTAATTTCAGAAAAATTTATCTATAAGACAGTATAAGAGATAATTCAATAAAACTTATCTAATCAATTGCATGAATTAAATTACTAGCAGTAAAGAAATATTTTGTAAATTGAAATTTATAATATATAATTAAATTTCTCTAAATAGATTATATAAATTAAATTA